GGCTGTTAAGGCTGGGTGTACAAGTCAATGAAAGGGGAAAATTTATCAGATGATAAACTTTTATAGTTCCTGTTCATGGTGTGGTTAGCAAAGGAATAATTCAAATTGACAACATATTCTTTTCTCTCAATCTATTTTCTTTTAACCCAAGGCCACCTAAAGGCCAAACTAGATCAGTCAGCTATGGGTGCAAAAAGTTTTCTCCCTGCATTATAGGTATTCTTGCACTTTCTTGGGAAAGTTACAGAATATTTCCACAGAATATCTACCTATTCTCGATGCTACTGTTTTTCAGGGCCTCACTGCCTGTGTTTGAACGGAAGCAGTGAGCCTTTACAGGGTAGAGATCAATCAGAAAAACCATATCCTGCTGAGTTTTGCCTTGTGGTTATGGGGACAGAGGAAGAGACAGGTGTATAAGTAACCGTTTTGCAAACCGCATTAGGAGAGGGGACCAATTCCTTCACTTGTTGCAAAAGCATCCTAATATATTTATGCTGTTTTAATTTTCTGCACAATTTCAATTGTATAACATTGTTTGCCAGCTTTACATTTGGCTCCAGGTATTCAGTTCAAAGATAGCGTGATTTACAAGTCCATTCTGTTTTTAAAAATTATCAAGCCAAGTTCTGCAAATACTTGTAAGCCTGATAAAATTATGAGGAGGGATGGGAGATGCCAGAGAACAGCTTAATATATTGACATTCACAACACAGGTTTTGGTCATGAAATTATTATCCCCACTTATGTAAAAATTTAGTTAAGACTTGAGTTGGACCCTAGAAATATTAGATATTTTTCTTTAAAATGAATTAAGGATTTTTAAAAATTCCTTTTTAAAAACCAAATTATATTATAATGATTTGACTATAGAAATTGGATGATTAGTGCTGGGATTCTAATTTTCATGCTGCCACTAACCTTGTTAGCCACATAGATTAGGCTTTATCTGTATGGTCCAAAAAGCTATGTGTGGAGCAAGATAATATTTTGCATGATTTTCAATTCCAACATTATGTATATATATATACATAATATATACGTATATATATATTATATACACGTATATATTATATTATATATATGTATATATATGAGAGAGAGAGAGGGACAGAGAGATAAACAGTCATCATCATCCCTGGCTAATCTATAATTATTCATTGAGCATCTGTTATGTGTCTAGAAGTGGAATATGAAGGGAATAAAAGAAGTGGCATGTACAGTTCTACTTTCTGGTAGAAATTCAAAGGGAAAAGATATTGAGTGTTTTGACTGGTGACTTTTAATAAGTGATCTGACAGTCTTCATCAGTGCCACCCAACCCTCCTCAGACAAACGTCACTCAAAGAAAACCAGGGTCAGACAAAACTTTACCCCTCACTCCCCCTGCCGGCCTTCCCAGGTTCCACATAGTGAAGTCCACCAGCAGTTCTGGAGCTCTCTCTGATGTTGTATTTTTTTGTAACTGAAAAATTTTGCTGGTTTTGTGTTTCACGTTTCCTCACAGAAGGAAAGATATCTTTATGAAATTCTCTAGTCTCAGAGTGATAAACTTTTTCCATATCTAGAGGAGTGGCCCCAAATAAATTTTTTTGTTGACATAGTGTAAGGAATTTTACCCAAAGAATAATTGTTTGAATCTTATATGACAAGTGCTTTCTCTGATTATCTGCAGATAAATGACCTCTTAATACAAGATTAGGATGTATTAACAAAGACAGGGTACTTGCCAACACAGAGACTCACTCTGCTACCACCACCCTCAGGACGAGTGAGTAATAACTCTAAATCGTCACATATTCCAGAGTAAGGTACATTTCTTTAACAAGGGGGTCTCTAAATGTAAAGGTGATGTACAGTTATCAACAATTGGGGAAGATATGGCTGCATTTCTGGAAAAACCAAGAGCTTCATCTGAAAAGCTAAATATTATTTCAGATGAGAACAATGTAAAAATGTTAAAGCCATAAGATGTTGATAAAATACATAAAAACTTCTTAAAATAATACTATAAACACCTCAAAAGACCTATATATGAGGAAGACCTAATTACAAAATATACAGAAAACTACTACAAATCTATTAAAGGCAATTAAAACATGAATAAATAACATGGCCAGATTTTGTAGAAGAAAATAAAAATGATTTTTGAAGCAAAAGACAAGACAGTCAACTTTATACCTAATAAATATGTGAATTAATATTAAATCAAAACCCACTTTTTTTCACCTATTAGATTGACAACGTTTTTAATAACAAAATTGGTAAAAATGTTGGCAGGAGATTTACTGTTTTATTGATGGGAGTGTGAGTTGGTTAAAGCTCTATGGAGAAAAACTTGACAGTAGCTATTAAAATTTAAAATGTATATATTCTTTTATACAGCAATTCTACTTTGAGATTTATTCTTATGGTTTACTTATCCAATGCGTGTGCAAATATTAACTTCATTAACTGAAGGATTTTTGATACAGCAAAAGATTGGAAACCACCTAAATGCCCATGTAGATCATAAGTTAAATAAATTATGAAACACTGTAATGTGAAGTGCTAAGTCGCCATTAAATGGTAACAAAACAGTTCTATCTATACTATATGGAATAAGCCTTAAAATCTATGGTAAAATGAATAAAAGACATAGAACAGGATGCGTAATATGTGTGCTGTTTAAAAAATAATACACACATGTATATGTTAGTATAGGAATACAGCTAGAAGAATACACCAAAACTGATAATATTTATTGTACTTGGGAGCATGGAAAGGAAGAAAAGAGGACAGGGAGGAAGATTTATTTGTTCTTTCTATATTTTTTCATGCTCCCAGAGTGATTGGGGTTGTGTGAATTAGTATTTACCGACCTTTGAATAGGCTATCATTTATGACACCATTATTATGTAATTTAGAAATCATATTAACACAGATAGTATCATGTCTGTTTTACAGATGAGGAATGAAAGGCTAAGAAAATTTAAATAAGTTGCACAAGGTCAAAAAGCTTGTTGGAGGGAACCCTTGTACACTGTGGGAATGTAAACTGGTATAGCCACTGTAGAGAACAGTATGGAGGTTCCTTAAAAAGCTAAAAATAGAACTACCATATGATATGATCCAGCAATCCCACTCCTGGGCATATATCCAGAGAATACCATACTTCGAAAAGATACAGGCACCCCAGTGTTCATTGCAGCACTATTTACAATAGTCAAGACATGGAAGCAACCTAAATGTCCATGGACAGATGAATGGATAAAGAAGTGGTACATATATACAATAGAATATTACTCAGCCATAAAAAAGAATGAAATAATGCCATTTGCAGCTACATGGATGGACCTAGAGATTATCATACTAAGTGAAGTAAGTCATACAGAGAAAGACAAATACTATATGACATCACTTATATGTGGAACCTAAAAAAATGGTACAAATGAACTTGTTTACAAAACAGAAATAGACTCACAGACTTAGAAAACACACTTATTGTTTCCAAATGGCAAAAGTTGAGGGGGAGGGATAAATCAGGAGTTTGGGATTGACATATACACACTGCTATATATAAAATAGATAAATAACAATATTACAAGATATTCAATATCTTATATACATAGCATGTGCATATATATATATCTATATATGAATCACTTTGCTGTACACCTGAAACTAACACAACATTGTAAATCAGCTATACTTCAATAAAAAAAAAATAAAGAGGCTTGTTGGAGTCAGAATCAGGAAGCGACTCCTAAAAGCACAGACTAGGAATAGGTACAGCTGTCCTTCATGGCTGGGCCCAGTGTCAGTCTAAGTTTTGTCTTTTAGTTATTGCCACACCTCTTAAAATTCCTTAGCATGGTTTTCCCAACCAATGGCACCTGTTTAACTTTAGTGATATCAAAGGATGAGACCACCACTTAATCTCTGGAAACACACACACACACGCACGCACACACGCACACACGCACACGCTGCTGAATTTATTGTTAAGTAAGGGAGAGCTATGCTGTTTAAATACATCCTCTCTGAGCATAATGTTGAACTGATTCTATACAGGGATTTGGGGGAATATCGAATCAGGGAGTGGGTGGAATTTCAGAGATGGGTTGATGTCAGCTGTAGAAACATGGTTACTTGGGTAGGAGTGTAGTTGATAGATTGGCTTTTAGAAGCGTGTTCATTGGGGTGGGTATATATCTAATTGGCTGACTGTCAAAAGAGAAGAACTGTCACTGATTAGTTGGATTATGGAAGTGAGTTCACCAAAGCAAGTTCACAGTGATTTATTAAAACCAGTTCTGGTGATTATTTGTTGTGTCCTGGCTACAACATAATCAGATTTTTCCTAGGTGTATGGGAACTTAAACTTTTTTTCTCCATATTATAGGTATTTCTTATTCCGGGTGGCCTACCTAGCTTATCTTCTCCTTTCCAAACCACGTCTGCTCCGCCAGTGCCATACGAGTGTGTCTCCTGGGTCACTTGCTATGTAGATACTCATGGTTTATTGCTCTAGTTCACCTTTGTTCATTTTTTTCTCTCACATAAAGAATGTATGAAAGAAGCAATGACATTTTGGGGTGTAATATTCTAAAATTATGACACCAGCCTAATCTTTGTGTAGCCAGAATCCTTGCTCAACCTGGAGAGAATTCAGATTTCCTTGCCTCTATCTGAGGAATTTGTTTACAGGCAATTAGTCATCTATCTACATGGCAGCCTGATGATTTTGGCTGTGGGAGGAAAGGCGAGGTTGGTGCACAGGATCCCTGAGAAAGGACAGAAAACACCAATGAAGGGGTCATTAAAGAGTCAAGTTCATGCTTTCTACACATTTTCTTGAGCACCTGTGGAAGAAGTATTGGATGAAGCACTATTTTCATAGAAACCTTTTTCAGATATGCTGAGAAGTAGCACAATAGATTGACTTAGATCATCCAGGCAGCAGAAATTGATAAATATAGGAGCAGGGCAGTTCACCAGTGCCTTTCTGATTCTTCTAGATTGGTGGCTTTGGGACGCAGGAGACAGCATCCTTGATGATTTCTCACAGGAGGCACCATCAGGAATTGCAGCAATGAGGCCTCTTCAGCCAGGTGAGAGACTAAATGTTATTGCCAAGGAGATACCAGGGCAAGAGAGAAAGGCAGTTACAAGGTTGTTACAAGGTATTTTAGCTTAAAGGAGTTTGAGAGCACAGGTGGCCTCTCACCTGTAGAGGCCTAAGAAGCACCAGGGGGAACACTTTCAAGAAGGCTGGAGACTGTGGGTAAATGGGGACAAGAGCAGATTACTGGTATGATTGTCATTTGTGTCATTGTATTTGTGTAATTATTATTGACTCCCATCTGCATTGATGGGATTGAGCCCTAGGGACACTGAGTTTACATTTATTTAATTCTGATTAAAACAATAATGTTGATCCTGTTCTGATTTTGACTTTTTGTTGCTTCAAGACTCATAAGAGCTTATCTCTGTTTCTATTCGTAGCCAATTTATTCATTCATTCATTTACCTAGTCATTTATTCATTTAGGTTTCAGACATTTAATTGGTGCTTGCAATGATGAAAGGACAGTTTCTACCCTCATAATGTAGTGTTTGTGATCCAGTTGGGCATCAGCGGTCCCACTGACAATTGTAATATCTTGATGTATATAATGGAGTTATATGCAGAGTAAAAATGTGCAGAGAAATAGGAGCTCCAACCAGCTGGGCGGAGTCTGGGAAGGCTTCCCACGAAAGTGAAAACTGAGTCGTAAAAGAAGATTCGTTGGTTTTTAGATGGTGATGGGGAGGGAGCGCATCCCAGGCAGAGGCACCTGCAAATGCCTATGAGATTTGTCAGGGAACAACAGGTGATTTTAAATTACCTGAGTATTTAGGGTAGAAGTGGAGTGGTGAAAAATGATGTTGCATAGATGTTAAGGACATATGTAATGAAATGATCCAGCTTCTCCTGTCCTCATTAGTGATATAATTCCCTTGGGAATCCTTGTATAAAGAAAGACATCTGTTTCCATTTTCTTCTTCCTAAAGAGAGGAACAGGATCTCTATACATCACTGCATAGATTAGTACCATGAGTGTTAGCGCTTTCTGTGAGACATAAGCCCAAAGGCCAAGGAGGATTGGGGACCCGGAAGACAAGATGCAAAATATTCTTCCCATGTCATAGGATGTTTTATTGCTGCTGCCGCTTAATGTGAAAAAATGCATTTTTTTCTTTTTCTTTTCCCTCCGTCCCTCCCACCTTCCATCTCTCCCTGCCTCTCTCCCTTTCTTTCTGTTTTTTAAAAAACTTTTTATTATTATTATTTTTAAGATGCAGAGTTAGTAAAGGGACATAGAGGTATTCTACTTCCCTGCAAAGTGTGAATTTACATGTATAGTTGGCTGTTTGCATCTGCTGGTTCTGCACCCATGGATTCAACAATCAGGGATCAAAAATATTTTTAAAAAATTGTAGAAAGTTCCAAAAAGTGAAACTTGAATTTGCTGCTTGCAGGAGACTATTTACATAGCATTTACATTGTGTTAGATATTATAAGTAATCTAGAGATGATTTAAAGTATATGGGAGGGTGTGGGTAGATTATGTGCAAAATTACACTTTTTTTTTTTTTTTGCGGTATGCGGGCCTCAGACTGTTGTGGCCTCTCGCGTTGCGGAGCACAGGCTCCGGACGCGCAGGCTCAGTGGCCATGGCTCACGAACCCAGCCGCTGCGCGGCATGTGGGATCTTCCCAGACCGGGGCACGAACCCGTGTCCCTTGCATCGGCAGGCGGACTCTCAACCACTGCGCCACCAGGGAAGCCCCACACCTTTTATATAAGGCACTTGAGCATCCCTCGTTTTTGGTAATTGAGGGGTGTCCTGGAGCCAGTTCCCCGTGGATACTGAGGGGCAACAGTACATTCTAAATTAGAAAATTATAATTTTGTTTTCTATAACATCGGGCAAGTAAAATGTGTCTGAAATGGTTTTACAGCTCAGAAGAAAGTTATAAATCTAAAATTTAAAAAAAATTATATAGGGAGAGAAAAATGTATGAGAAAAAAGAGGTGGTGTATTTGTGTCTCAAGCAACATGGTTAAGTCAGTTTTTTTGTGATTCATGTTGGGTGAATACACTTTATGAATTATGAACATATTCAGTAATAAGAGACTGATAAATTAGTTTACTATCACAAACGAGTTATTTTCAAAAATATGCATAACTTCAGCTAGGTAAAAGTGGTTTGATCTTATGACTTTTTTCTTCTGCAAATTATTTAGTTCTATCAGCAGACCTTGTGAAAGTTCCATTTGTTCTATATATCAGTCTAACTCTTAAATTTCATGAATATCAGGTAAGAAATACACCCTTTTATGCATGTTGCGTAGATAATATTTAAAATATTTATATAAACAAACATTAATATTTGTTGTGTTTTGAAGAGAATGTTGGGTTTTTTTTAAAAAAAAAATTTAGCTTGAAGCTGACAGTTTAAAGCAACAAGAAAATAAAGGCAGACAATGAACTAAGCCCTAGATATACAATATATTACCTAATCCTTACACAAATTCTAAATTAGCTGTTGTTTCCTCCATTTCACAGATAAAGATGCCCAGGCTGAGAGAGGTTCAGGGACTTGGCACTGTTAATATAAAATCCAATTATTCACGCTTTAAATAAGATTCAAACCTCCCTGGCTTCAAATCCATGCTCTTTGTAGAATATTATATAAAAGGTTGAAGACTAATGACTCTATTGAGTAAATTAAATGTTTCGTGCCAAATTCAGATAACTTTTCATACTCTCAGAACTTGTTTCCAAAGTAGGCTTATCCTAAAGTATGATTCAGTCATTGTCTTAAGCAGTCATTTCTTCAAACTGGGGACTGTTTCATTTGCTCAGCTTCACCTTGCTGAGGATGAAAACTGGTGAGAAGCCTAGAAGGCCCTGAAGTAGAAGGATTTCAGGATATCTGAGTAGACCCTGGAGAAGGAAAGAGAACAGTGCAACACCGTTAACCTTTATGGCCGGTGGAAATGGTGACAAAATAACTATTTCCCCCTCTTCCAACTCCTGAGACACTTGCTGTTTGACTTATCAACTGCTATCTGATCAGACACATTTACATTTTAAAAAAAAATAAATTTATTTATTTATTTTTGGCTGCATTGGGTCTTTGTTGCTGTGCGTGGGCTTTCTCTAGTTGTGGCGAGCGGGGGCTGCTCTTCGTTGCGGTGTGCCAGCTTCTCTTGTTGTGGAGCACGGGCTCTAGGTGCGTGGGCTTCAGTAGCTGTGACACGCGTGCTCAGTAATTGTGGCTCACAGGCTCTAGAGCGCAGGTTCAGTAGTTGTAGTGCACGGGCTTAGTTGTTCCGCACATGTGGGATCTTCCCAGACCAGGGCTCGAACCCGTGTCCCCTGCTTTGGCAGGTGAATTCTTAATCACTGCATCACCAGGGAAGCCCCACATTTACATTCTAACTAAAGTTTTCAGCTGTGAGCTAAATGACTTTGGTCCATGGCTCCCAGAAAAGAATTATTAATCAATTCAGTGATTCAGGCCTTGTGTATTTTTACTAGCAGTAGATATCTAAAAATGAAAAACTACTTCTTTAATTCTAGGCTTTTTGTCAAAGAAATGAAGACATTTTTATTTAAAATTCCCACCTAATAATAAGTTTCATGGAAAGTCCTTTATAAGATCCTCTCCTTGGCCTTGTTTCTTAATCTGGGCACTGTTGACATTCTGCGTTGAATTCTTTGTTGTGGGGACTGTCCTCTGCATTGTAGGATGTGAAACAGCATCCTTGGGTTCTATACTAGATGCCAGTAGCATCTCCCCCTTCAAGCTGTGACAATCAAAAATGTTTCAGGTATTGGCACAAATCCCCTGAGGGACAACTACATTGAGAACCACTGCCATAGGCCCGTTACACTTTATTTCCGGTCAGTTTGGGGTAGGAAAGAGAAAGGCAGTCTTGAAGATATAGAGGGGAAAATAAGAAAAAAAAAGTGAGATAAATAAATAAAATTAGATGAGAGATAGCAGGATTATTCCTAACATACCCAAAGTGAAAACAGTCCAAATGTTCATCAACTGGTAAATGGATAAACAAATTGCGGTACATCCATACAATGGGAATTTAGCAATAAATAGGAATGAACTACCGAGCCATGCAAAATGATTTTGGATTTTGAATGAATTTCAGAAACCCCATGCTTACTGAAAGAGATCAGATACAAAAGACTATATACTCTATGATTCCATTTATATGAAGTTCTAGGAAAGATAGAACTATAGTGGCAGGAATCAGATGATGAATGCCTGAAAACTGGGCACGGCGAGAGGGACTGACCTCAGAAGGGCATGAGAAAACTTGTGGTGGCGAAAATGTTCTATGTTTTGAATGTAGTGGTGGTTACATGACTGTGTACATTGCCAACATGCGTGAAATGTATCATTAACATAGGTGCATTTTATTGTATGTAAATTATACCTCAGGAAAGCTGTTTAAAAAACAGATGTGAAGACGGAGGAAGAGAATATACTATAGAGGACAGGATGGGGAAGCCATTTTCAGGCTCATCTTTGTAAATAGTCTGTGACAGCTGACCTCGTGGAAGTGGATGTGGATGCCAAAGGCTGGAGCTGACTGTGGCAGGTCTTACTTTGCTTTGGGAAAATCCCCGGGCAACCTCTGTTTTTACACAGCAGCTTGTTTGGAGCGGGGCCAGTCAGAGTTGTCTCAGAGATTATCTGGCAGCCCCCAGATCCTTGGGACCTATCATCTAGGAACCCAGAGGCTCCTTTCAGAAACTATGAATAAATGAGGTAGGAGGTTTAATGCTGCTACTAAAGTTCAGCACCTACAATACAGAGTCTGCCAGTAGTGTCTTCTTAGACTCTGAGGTGCCTAGCAAGCGTTAGGAATGATCTTTCGGTGCTTGTTCATTAACTAAGCAGATCTTCAATGTTTCTTCCCTCCTCAACCCACTTCGGAAGCTTTTGACGTAAAATAATGTGAACTAACAGTATGAGAACTTAATGCACGTTTAACATAAACTTACTTTTTCTAGGAAATGGTAAGCAAAGTGTCAGAA